TGCCGGGCGGCAGGTGGAGCGGCCGCGGGCCGCGCGGGGCTGGGGCCCTGGGAGGACGGCGGGCACCGCCTCGGCGGGCAGCAGCGCCTAACGCCCGGCAGAGCCCGGGGGTGGGGTGGGGTGGGGCCGAGTTTGAGGGCGGGGGACGGGCGTCCTGGGTTCCAGGTCCAGCGCGCATCTGCCTTTCGGGTGGTCGGAGGAAGGCACTTCTCTGTTCTCCGGACCTGAGTGTCCTCTTCTGCAAAACTGGCAGATTTGCACTAGACCCATAAGCTGCCTTCTAGCTCTGAGACCGGAAGGGTAGGACTGAAGAATAAATAAGTCACGCTAGTGATTGATGATTGAGTTGCCGTTTTGTGCCAGGTGTCCTGTTAGGTGCGTTACATGTGGATCTCATTTAATCCTTACAGCGACTTTGTCAGGATGTTTTCCTCACCTTAAAGGTGAGAAAATGGGGACCCCTAGAGGTTTAGTAACATGCCCAAGGTCATAGAGAAATTGGCAGAACCAGGATGAGGTCAAAGATGTCCTCCAATTCTGGCCTTGCTGGGAGGTCCCTGCCGTCCCCCGATTCTTTCATGTTCCAGGATTCTCGGTTGGTGGGGCTGTTTGGGAGATGCTCGGGGGCCTAGAGGTGGTGGGTCTTTCTGCTGGGTGTGCGAAACGCTGAAACGCAGCTGGATTGAGGCAGGGGTTAATTAGAACTGGGAAGTCTGAAGGTTGGTTGGTGTAAGTAAAATTGTTTGAGGAAGGCTTCTAGAATGAAGGAGAGAAAAAGGTTCTTCGGCATTGGAGGATTTGGGTATGAGGAGATCAAAACTGCTAAGGCACGTTCTGCTGAGGTCTGTTTTCTTGGAGATGAGATCCTATTTTGGGTGTAGAAAAACAGGCTGCTTTTGAAATTTTATACTTCTTACTAGTTAAGTAACTATTAAGAAGAACTGGTTAAATATTGAGTTTTCCTTTGTTTTTTTTTTTTTTTTTTTTTTTTTTTTTTTTTTTTTTTTTTTTTTTTTTTTTTTTTTTTTTTTTTTTTTTTTTTTTTTTTTTTTTTTTTTTTTTTTTAGGCAGATCACGGAAGAAGAAATTCATATGGATAAATATCATTTTTTAAATGCTCATAGTCACTAGCAAAAACATTAAAATGTTTTAGACAGTGGGGTACATTTTTGTCAAGGACTTTTAAAGGCCCACCTCCCGCGCTGGGGGAATTGGGGGCCGGGCCTCGCGCATGCGCCGCCGGCGCCACGCGCCCCGCGGGGCGGGGGGGCTGGGAATCGGAGTCTTTCTTCGCCGGCGCTGGCTCCGCTTCCTGCCCTCCCTCCTCCCTCGCCTCGCGGGAAGGCGTCCCCTCACCCTCGCGGAGACTCGCGGTGGCCTCCCGGGCACACGCCGGCTCGCACGGGGAGCTCAGGGACTGAGGCGCCACCTGCGCGCACCACGCGCGAAACGCGCGGACGGGATACCCCAGAAAGTTCTGCCTTCCGCGGCGCACTGCCCTAGCCGACCTTCCGTAGGTTCCACCTGCTTTTTCTTTCTGTTTTTCAAACCTGTCCTGCGATGGGTTGGTAGATTTCCAAACGGGCAGTTCCTACAAAAGCTCCGGAAAAGCCGTGCTTTACTATCCACGAGTCCCTGATTCTAAAGGAGGCTCAGTAAGTCACTGGTTTTTATTGTGCCTCAATGAGTCACGTGGAATTTAATGAACCTATCCTCTCTCCAGAACTAGCACCAGCTTATTAAAAATACTTTGATGGTTGCAAATCCAGAATTATAAATGAAACGCTGGCTTTTTTTTCCTTTTTCTTGAAAAAATGCTGGGTAGGCAGACTAGAGATTTTATTCTGAGGTGTCCATTTCCTTGTAAAATTCTTATTTTAACCTCAAGTCAAGGCTGTTGAATAGGTAGAAGAGACTCATTGTTCTTTCCTGTGGAAAGGATCAGCTCCTGTTTTCTTCTGTGTATCTAATATCCATTCATTTATTCAAAAAATACCTATTGAGGCTGGTCGGTTAGCTCCCTGGGGAGAGTGTGGTGTTAATAACACCAAGGTTAAGGGTTCCGTCCCCTTATTGGCCAGCTGCCAAAAAAAACCCCAAAACAAACAAAATATTTATCGAGCACTTACAATATGCTATGCACTGTTGTAGGCAATGGGGATACAACAAAGCACAAAACCAGACCCTTTTATGGAACTTACATTCTAGAAGAAGACAAACAATAATCGAAATATATGTCAAATGTTTGTTTAGTGCTGTAGAGAGAAATGATGAATCAGGGAAGTGAGGATAGAGAGTTTTGTGAGGTTGGCAGTTAATAATATGGTGGCCAAACAAGGCCTCATAGACAGGTGATATTGGTGTAAAGACCTAAAAAGTTTGTAAAATTCTTTGAGGTCTTGTGAGGGCTATGAAGTCCTGGCTTATTTTTGAAAGACCTTATAAGTAGAGTGGATAGTTAGGAGAATGTGTTTAGAATGAATATAGGAAGATCCAGGATTGGATTAAAGCCGGTAATATTACTTGTCATTTAATATCGTTACTGAGGACTGTTATTATGATATTATACAGCTACTCAAACAAACAGTGCCTTTGCCATTTGGACATGGACAGTCTCAAAGTTATATAACTTAACCCTATGTCCTTTCATATTGTGTTAAAAAGTTAGTGTTTGTCTTAAAATCTTCTACTGGAGTCTAAATGTAGAGTAGAACACCCATCAGATTAATCAGTCATTGTCAAGGGACAACTTAAATCTCTTTGGTATATACTCTTGAGCTGCTTTTGGGCATTGCCTTCTTCAAATATAAACTAACAGAAGGAACTCTGATTTATGAGAAATCTTTTTCCTGGAGAACCCCATCAATGAGCAACCGATTGGAGGAGTTTTCTTAACAGTGCATTAGATCCTCTCCAAATGACACTGTGGTTTCCCATCCAAGATTAGAATCAATACAATTGTTTATTCGATAAGAACTATTGAAATTGCTACAATATAAAGTTACTCATTTAATTCTTCAAGGGACAAGTTAAAAGAAAAAGCTCATGTGTTTTAAAAAACAGCTTTATTGAGGTATATTTTATGTATCATAAAATTCACCCATTCTAAGTGTACAAGTCAATGATTTTTAATAACTTTACCAAGTGCTGTAACCATCACTACAGATCAGTTTTAGAACATTTTCGAACACTGAAATAAGTTCACTTATACAGGTTTACATTTAATCCCATTCCTACCCTCAACCCCAGGAAACCACTAATTTATTTTCTGTCCATATAGATTTGCTTTTTCTGGATACTTCTTATACATAGGGTCATTCAGTATGGACTCTCTCAACATCTAGCATCTTTAACAATGTTTTTGAGGTTCTTATATGACATAGTTAATTTCTTTTTATTTCTGAATAATATTCCATTGCATGAATATGCCACATTTTGTCTATACATTCACCAGTTGATGGACACTGTTTTTAAGTTTTAGGCTATTATAAATAATGCTAGCATGCATATTTGCATGCAAGTCTTTTTGTAGACATATGTTTTTGTATATCTTGTGTAGATACCTAGGTGTAGAATTGCTAGGTCATATCATAGTTTTATGTTTAACTTTTTGAGAAAATGCCAAACTGTTTTCCAAAATTATTGCACCATTTTACAGTCTCACTGACAAAAAATGATAGTTCCTTTTTCTCCACATCTTTGTCAACATTTGTTATTGTCTGTCTGATTTATTATAGCCATTCCATGGATGTGAAATGGTATTTCATTGAGTCTTTAATTTTGCATTTGGCTCATGAAATTGAACAACTTTATATGTACTTATTAGTCTTTCATGTATCTTCTTTGACTAAATTCTGTTTGTATCTTTTGTTTATGGTGTGATTGGATTATTTGTCATTTTGTAAGTGGAGTTATAAGAATTCTTTGTAAATTCTGGACACAGGTTATTTATTGGATACGTTTTCTCCAAGTCTGTTATTTGCTTTTTGTTTTCTTAATGTTGTCTTTTGGAGTATAAAAGTTTTGGGGGAAAAAAATAGTAGTTTTGAATTTTTATGAAGTTCATTTTATTGATTTTTTTTCTTCATGGTCCATGCTTTTATATTTTCTTGTAAACATTTTATTGTTTTAGCTCTGTTTTTAAATCTATGACCCATTTTGAGTTAATTCTCGTGTATGGTGTGAGATGAGGTACTAAGGTCAACATTTTACGTGTGGTTATCAGTTTGTCTCAGCACCTTTTATTGAAAGCATGTGCACTTTTAATTGTTATATATTTAAACTTCGTAAAATTAATTTCTACTAAAAAACTTAACAAGATGACTTAATTTTATACGGCTATAAAAACATGGAAACGGAGGAGTGAAGAGCATTTTATGTGCCTTCTCTCTTAACTGTTATGCTAATTATAGATTTTTAAAACTTAAATTGTTGGTGTATCAGTTCATGAACCAAAGTTAGGTACAATAAACAAAATTCAAAATGGCATAGTTTTCATTTAATAGTGCTAGTTTCAGGGCATTCTTAAAAAAGTATATGGAAATCCTTCTATTTGTTGATAAACAATTAAAACCTTATTTAAAATGTTCTAAATTGGATTTACTCCTTTTTTAGTCTATCATAGAGTTAGATTACTAAGGGAGTGCTTATGGAAACATTACATGGGTTGACAGAGTTTAAAAGTAATGCTTTTTATTTACTTAAAATTTTTCTGTGTATTGATTGTTTAGGTTCTCACTTTCTGGGTAGGGTAGACCTGCTCTTTGAGAGGTCTTGTAATTACACTTGTTCACTTCTTATCTAATTTATGTAAAGGTGATAGAAATTCTAGAAGAATAGATCTATTGTTTGTGGTATACAAAGACTGGTTGAAGAAAAAATTGTATTTATAACATAATGCCAATTGTTTATGTAAAAAGAAGGCTGTAGTTTCAAAGTTAGGACTGATAGATGTGGTTTGTGAAATAATTATTTTTCATCGGAATTGTTTACCAAGGGATACTCAGCAACTATGTTAGCCTCTTTCTAGCTCGCAAAGTCTCATTGAGGAAATTCCCTTTTTTGTTTTTCACAGTCATGAGCTGCATAATGACATTTTGGTCAATGACAGACTGCATATAAGACTGTGGTCCCGTAAGATTATAATAGAGCTGAAAAATTCTTATGGCTTAGTGACGTAGTGGCCATCGTAACATCATTGAACAATTAAATTGGTCTCATAGGAGCAATAGGCTATACCATATAGCCTAGGTGTGTAGTAGGCTATGCCATCTAGGTTTGTGTAAGTACACTCTATGATGTTGTCACAACAATGAAATTTCCTAATGAGGTGTTTCTCAGAACGTATGTATCCCTGACATTAAGAGACTAACTGTAGTTATGTGAATGGTCCAGACTTGGCTCTCAAGAAATTAAATAAATGTTTTACTAATTCCTCTTTTATTTTTTGAGATAACAGGAAGGAAAAGCAAATGGAAAATTTAAATTTTCTTTAACAAGCAATGTTACCATTTTTTAAAAATCTGAAAACCAAGTCGTAAATGATAAACTTAATTTTGGACAACTATTTGGTCAGTTGTTGGAACTAAGAGTTATGCCTGTGGTGTTTTGGTACCTTGCTAGGTTTTGTTTTTGACTCCCATGCTAGTATAAAGACCCTGAACAATTTAACCTCTCTGGGCCTTGTTTTCTTCCTCTCCTAAAGGATAATACTAGAACACCTAATCTGTTAGGTCTTTTACAACTTTATCATTAAACTGATTTTTTAAAGATTTAGTTCCAAAAAATGGATATATTTAATTGTTCATCCTGGTTTAATGGAAATTTGAATTACTAAATACCGGAGCTGTAATGTAGAAGTGTAGTGTAGAATGGAAGAAAAGGGAAATACATTTGTAACGTTTAGTGATAAAAACTACAAAATGGTTAAGTTTTTACATATTCTAATCACTGCACTATATATGCACTTAATTTTATTTATTCCCCAGAGTAATCCTCTGAGTTTGGTATTATCTCTATTTTACAGGTAAAGAAATTGAGAATCTTTAAGTAACTTGTTACTTTAAGTAACTTGCTCAAGGTCACATTACTAGTGAGTGTCAGAACTAACAGTCAAATTCAGGGTTCTCCGAGTCCAAAGTCTGTGCTATGTGGAATATAAAGTCAAAATGCCTAGTATGTTATCGTGTGAGTTTCAAATATACAAGGATATAATTTTGTATGTCTGGGGATATTTATAAAGAATTGAGAAAATAAGATTTAAATGTCTTTATTTTAGTCCACATTTAGAGGTAATAAAAGTTTTTTGAAACTGTATATGGATGATTAAAATTTATATTTTCATGTTCCCAGTGCTTACTTGTATGTGTCAGTCCATTCCATTTCTTATGAAGGTGCTGAATTCTGACAGTTTTAAATCAAACTTTTTAGAAATGCCGGGTATTTGAGTTTGTTTTCTTATGTGAGAGTAGCCTTGACTAAAGATCAGCAATCATCTATAGTAACCAGACTAAAGAGA